TAGTGACAGGAAAAGGGGAAATGGCTTTAAATTGAAAGAGGGCAGATTTAGATTAGATCTAAGGCAGAAATTTTTCACTCAGAGGGTGGTGAGGCACTGGAACAGGTCGCCCAGAGAAGTTGTAGATGCCCCATCCCTGGAAGTGTTCAAGGCCAGGTTGGATGAGGCTTTGGGCAACCTGGTGTAGTGGAGGGTTTCCCTGCCCATGGTAGGGGGGGTGGAACTAGATGATCTTTGAGGTCCCTTCCAACTCAAACCATTCTATGATTGTGCTATACTCTAACCTTAAACAGAGGCTCTGCCTTAGATAGATCTTAGTTATGCTTACAGGAAACATTCCTCATAGTTAAGCCTCGAGTTCAGCCTTCAGCCCTGCCACTCGGCTGCAGTGTGAGCAGGAGCAGCTTCACTGTAGCACTTTATAATAAAGTCTTCCCTGTTACGGGTGAGGGTGCTACCAGTTTCCTTGTACCGGGGACCTGAAGAGATTACCACTGCTGGCAGGATTACTACTGCTAGGAGGAATGCAGACCTCTACCTCCTGCCCACAGCAGGGCTCCTGGTGCCACTAAAGCTCTGCTGATCACCACTGCTGCCAGGATTACTACTGCTAGGAGGAATGCAGACCTCTACCTCCTGCCCACAGCAGGGCTCCTGGTGCCACTAAAGCTCTGCTGATCACCACTGCTGCCTTTCCTTCCCACTCTTGCCCCTTTTCTCCGTGTCAGGGCTCAGCACAGTGCACTGTAATTACACAGAGGCTCTCCCACCTTCTCTCTTTTGCCCCTCCTGGGAGGGCCAAGCTCAGGGCTTGATGGGCTTGCGCAAAGTCTCTGCCTGATAGAGAAACCTAGATCCCAGCTGGGTGGGGGCAGGTAGAAGCTAACTCTGGGGGGATTCAGGGAATTCTTCCAGAGCGCCTTGACCTGCTGCCAGGAGCAGCTCCTGACCTTAAAGCTTAACTGCAGGATGGACACAGATCATTGAAGGTAAGGCTAAAGAGGCAGTTATACAGGAATAAATAGAAAATTGCTGTCAAAAGAAAGTAACCAACTGTGGCAATTGACCAGCTCTGAATGTTCTTGTCATGGACCAAAGAATTCAGTGAAATATATATTTTATATTCCAACTATCTCCTGTTTGCCGCAGAACATGTATTCCTCTATTCCTCCGTCACCTTGTCTTTTATCGTACTGTAGCCCTCTTCAGTCTCTTAGGCTCTTTAGGTTGCTCTGGATTGTTGCAAAACAATGTTTTGACAAAACTTTCCTTTTTCTAACTTTCCTCCTGTCTCTCCAGGTCCTCCTCTCAGAACTCCCTATTATCCCTTTGTCAAGCATGGAACCACTCCTCCTTGCCTGCCTCACATACAAGCCCATCCATCGGCTCACACCTGTGAATGGCGCTTAGATGGCCAGAATCAACACATCTTGATACTTGAATTATAATCACTGGTACATGTGAGACTATATACTGAGATCATCCCTGATCAGTGTGGATGCAGAAATGAAAAAGGCTCTTCAAGATTCCTCCAGTGGCTTGACAATTAAGAGTAGGTACCATAAGCTCTCCTCAAGACATTGCCAACCTGAAGCACTCAAAGCTGCTGCTAGCTTGTTTGGAGCAGATAACTGTCCAGGCAAGTCACTGGGCTCACACATATGACCAGCAGCCCCCAGGTCAGAAGGGCTCTTATACCTCAGGGAATGCTCTAACTTAGGAGGTATCTGGATTAAAAAGGCTACTCTCCCTTGGCTCTTGCTATAGGCAATGTGGGGGAGGGACAGCTGGACCTCCCAAGGCAATTGGAGCACTCAAGGTACTGCCATCCAGAGGCTGGTTTCTGAGTAGGGAACTGGACTAGATAACCTCCAGAAGTCTCTTCCAACCTAAATTATTCTGTGTTCATCTGGAGCAACAGCTCTCTCTCCATTGCACATGGAGAGAGCAATGACGTTAGCCACTGCCATTAGACACCTCAGACAAGCCCATGTAAGTGCTCCCACTTCCAATATGAACAGTGTGAGCTAATGCAGACAAAGCCCAAGTAGAGTAAGACTGAAAAAAATAGCCAGAGGAGGGAAACTCATGGTTGGCTGTTTGCCTGGTGAGCAGCTGAAATCAGCACATCCAAACTTCTCAGGGGCAGCAAACATTTGTACAGTTCAGCCATCAGGAGCTGCAGGACTGCAGCATGCTGGCCAAAGCATGTTCTTCCTTTCACACTCCACACAGATGTCCAGATCCTACCTTAACATTTTCATGTTTTGATCCTGTTCAAAACCTGAATTTCAACTGCTGACTACTCAAAAGCTTCATCCAGTAAAAGTCAACAGTAAAAACCTGTAGCTTCTTGGCTTGACCACACTGACAACTCCAGAAAAGCAAAATGGCTATTTTGGGGTTTATGGCTTTTGGAAGTAAGAGTTTCCTACCTAAATACTCTTGTTTCTCCTTGGCCAGCTGCAGTCCTTGGGCTTCCAGGCTCTCGATCATGGCTTCTCCCAGCTGGGCATTCTTCCAGGTCCTAGGGAGAGCAGACACAAAGCAGACAATGTAAGAGAGCTAAGAGTCCCACAGAGTGAGGCAGGGGACTCAGCCAGCAATCTACCAAGGAATTCGAACACACAGACTCTCATCGGTTGGGACAGTGATTCTCTAAATTTTTCTCCACAAATGAATTGGAGGAATTTCCCTCACATTGAGTAATTTTTTCTTTTTCTTTTTTTTTTTTTTAAATACAGGAGCTGTACATCAACACTGCACAGCTATTCAAATGTTCTTCCAGTGTTTTGGAGATTTCTACACTGAGCTCAGTCTTAAGGGCTCTCCAGACCAACCCAACATGTGCACAGCCTCCAACTGCAACAGGATGTACCTGGAACCCATTAAATAGATCCAAACAGACTTTAGAACCAGACTTTAGCTTTTAACTCAACTAACTTATCTGCCAGTGACATTGTCTTCTGCAGCCTTTCCAATATTTTTCTGCTATAGCCACTCTTCCCCTTCAAACATTAACCGTTAATTGACTCCTTCCCACAGCCTTCAATCTTCAGCCTTTCTGGTATCCATCATCTATCCTGGAACCAATCAATGCCTCCTCTGCTAAAATTGTAAGCCACTAGGATTTGGTGTCTGGCCCCTACACTGTGAGTTAAGTGCCTCTCCCTGTAAAAAAACGAAGAACCAGAGATAAAAGCCAGACAAGATGCTGGCATGTAGGGAGAGCTAAAGGAAGCAGGCATATTCAAAGAGTATCTTGTATTATTGTAGGACTGTCAGCCAGAGGATCTCAAAGTCTCTTGAATACATTATGAAATTAAACTGCAAAAAAGGCCTGTGGAGCAGATGCCCATCACTGATTGAGTTGATGGGCAGGTCAGGCTTTAAAACAGATATTAAATAACAAGACAGGGACACACTAATGCAAAACAGAACCAGAAATAGAGTTTGTTGCTCACTTCTATTCATGTTCCAGTACAAAAAAGATCTACACACATAAAATACATAAAACGCATACATAAAATTCATCCCAATCTATTTACACAGATGCACATACAGGAACAGCAATTGCTGCCCAGAAATTCTACCATCTTTGTTAAATCCTAAGGGAGGTTATTAATATTAAATACCTATAAGCCTTCCTGTACCAGGCCTCTCTGTGAGCCATTTGAAACTGTAGCTTTTCAGAAATCGTTAAGTTGGCAACCTCTTATAAAACAATTTCAAGGCAACTTGCACTTGGTCTCTTTTGAAAGCCAGAAAAATATATTAAACACACATCACCCCAGGGACCCAGCAGCTCACAGCTCCAGCAGCCCAAGCGCTACCTTGTGCTCTTTGCAGACAGCTGGGTTTCTTTTCAGCTAATGAGCATCTAGGATACTTCTAAAGTGCAGAGGAAATCAGAATGCTAATTAAAAAGGTGATGTTTTGCCCACAGGTAGACATCTTCATCTTGAGTGAGAACATGTGGGTGTGAATGTGTTTTACCACTAATGTTCTCCAATACAGGATGAATCTGATCCCAGAGAAACCAACAGCAAACAGCTCTCGGGGGGCAGGAGATGGTGGGGAACAACAAAACTTATCATATGATTACTTGGAGGGTTTCAAAACAGCTGTAGCCTTTAAGATGTCTGTTTATTTGATTCACTTTTTCAATGCTCCCTCCCTTTGCCAGCCTAACAAGATGTTTCCCTGTCTGTAACTCAAAGGTTACTACACCCACTGCTGTATAACTTAGAAGGTGCACCTGTACCACTGTGTAGCATTTAAGCTGTTATTCCTTTTATCTGCTGGAACCAGTGCTGGTGTGTAACTGCAGCAGCAGGGAGGTATAGGCTATGACTTCAGCTGAGGGGAGAGCAAGTGGGTTTTTTTAATTTGTGCTTCTTACCAAGTGAATTTTCACCAGAAAAAAGCACATTGCTTAAAGTGTTGGAAAGCACAGGGTCAAGAAGGCTCTTGGGACAAGTAGAAAGCACCCTTATAATATACTTCTGAAAAAAAATCCCACAACCCCAAACATAGCAATCTCCAATTGCTACGCAGCTCAAACATCATCTATTCCAGTCCTTTCACAGTGCTGGGAACATCTCTCTAGCTTTGCCTGCATTTTACCTTTCTCAGGAGCATCCACAACCAATTTTTGGAGACACTTAGCACTCCATGGTCCACAAGACATATGTACTATGTTTCCCGGTGTTTTTTTTTCCTCCATTGCCCACCGAATCTGCTTTCAACCAGTGCAGGAAATGCTGCTACGGACACAGAGAGTGTATGTGTGGCCCTCTCCTCCACTAGCAGCAGCCAAAGCCTCTCTGGGTGGGAGGAGAGCCTGGCCTGCTGGGAATCAGGGCCTTATGCATTTCTGAAAAGCTTTCAAGATTTGGCAAGCATGATAAGCCCAAGCCACAACATGGTAGAAGGGTGGAGAGACCATCAATCAGCTCCCCTCCACAACTGAATAAGTGGCTTTCCTATCAAACCAGGAGGCTTGGAAAGGAGCAAAGAGCCAAAGGCATCACTGAGCAGACTGTGATGGTGGAGGTAATAAGCAGCTGTGCAGGCACATACACACACCACCCAGCCCCAGACATGAAGAGGCAGCAAAGTTGAAACAAAGGAGAGAGGATAGAGGACACTTCCCATTCCAGGTTCATTTTTTCCTCTTTCCCCTATTTTCCAGGTTGCCTAGAAGATTTCAGCTGTGTCCTTTTAGCTTTCCTATTCATTTCACGGGCCCATGCTGTGCCTTTTGGGCTGCTACTTAGCTCCCAACGTGACCCTGCTAACATAAATCACATAATCTGTGCCTCTCCTCACAAGCAGGCTATCATCAGCACTGAGGAGGCTGGCTCTCCTCTGATGCAAGAACAGAAGCAGAGAGGGGAGAGAAGAGGGTGTCTCAGGCAGACTTTAAGCCAGGTGCAGGTAGTCTGCTGTATGATAGCAGCCACTATCTAGCTCCTGTTTTAAACACTAGTGCTGGAATATTGAAACAAGGACTAGAGAAAACGCTGTCTCTGTGAAATAAGCAGCCACACAGGGCTTGCTTGTGAGAACCTCTCCTGAGCTGTGCAGCCACGCTCCTTCCCTCCCATACACACTTGAAGATGAATTTGGCCCCCAAATTATTGCCCTCAGCAATAGTTAAGTTTAACATTGGTGAAGGCAAGTGCAGACCTGTGCTATCGAAGAAAAAACTCTGAATTACTCAAGGACTAAACCTAGGTCTCTCCTCTGCAGTGTCCAAGCCTGCTCGTGCTGAGTGAGCGACAGACCTCTGCCTCGGGTCTTGTGTCCCACGGGGATCATGCTCCCACGAATGGACAGCTTTGTGTTACAGTTCATACAGTACCATGGAGGTGACAGCTTGCTCCAGCACCAAAGCCAGGCTCACTGCAGCAGTGCAGAGCTTGGCTTGGGCTGATTCATTGTGACACTGTGCTCCCCATTAATTACAAATTAATATTTTCAGCCTCATAGCATCGGAATTAACGGAGATACTGCTTATGTCATGCACACACTGGTATTACAAGTTAAACTTACCTGAAAGAGCAGCTTTTGTCCCTACAGTCACAAGAGACCACATACACATGTCGTAACGCAGCCAGGAAGGGCAGAGCAAAGTGCTCATTGCTTCAAGCCTCGGAGCTGAACAGTAGGTTCTGCTCTACAGACTCTGGAAGTTCCTACCTGGCTTGGGAAAGTTGAATTCCTGTTTAAGCGTTACCTTGTCCTGCATCAGCCGAGATTTAGAAAGAGCCTGCTTTGGTTTTGCAGGACAGCTGCTCATTGCACTCTCAGGCTCCTGCGTCCTGAGGGGTCGCAGAGCTGGTGGCCAACAAACTGGAAATCTCTCCAGCATTCTCAGCAGACTATGAACTCAATATTGTATGCACACAACAATCAAACCCCCTGTTCCCAGCAGGTGGGCTGGAAATGCTTTGCTAACACCTTAGTCCAGCCTGCAGACCCTGCTTTCCACAGGAAACAGACCAGGAGAGCTCCCATTCAGTGCCAGGTTCCACTTCTCCAAGGCAAGAGAGGGGGACAGCAGATGCCACTGGGTATATCAGCATTTGCCAGATGACAGCCTGGGGCCGTTAGTGAAGAGCCGTACTGCACAGCACACGGCACACCAAGGCGGGAAGCTTCCTGTCAGTCTTAGAGCATTCTCATTTAGGGAAAGGACGGGCCCAGGAGACAAGATGAAGGTCTCACTAGTCTTGGGGACCTCGTCTGCCTCCCCGTAGTCCTTCTAGTCAGGCTTCTTCCTCTTTATCCTTCACACGTCTACAGAGCAGATCAAAGAGAATAAGGAATAGAAAGAAGCTTACACTTTTCCAGACTCCTGTAGCATCTCCAGCCACTGAGCCTGCTCAAACTCTGATTCGGCTGCTAGAACAATGTTACCCTAGAAGAGGGGAGGGGAGGGGAAAAAAAACCCGGATTAGAGAGGCTGGTGCCTCACGCACCTCTATGCAGTCAGGACATGAACTGGACACAGCAAGCACAGCTATGGCAGCAGGAGAGACCACCACAGGCTTCCATCTCCGCAGGAGGCACCACATGGGAGCAGGGGTGACCCAGGCCTGCCACACATTGGAAAGAGACGCAGGTGGCAAGTGGTCATGGTAGGAATGAAATGACAGGGCAACATGAGCTCTAGGGCTCCTGAATATCTGTCTACTGGTCTGCTAGTATTGTAAGGACTGCTATCAGAAAGAGCAAGTTTCCTTCTTGGTTGTCAAAGCAGGAGCAGCAGCAAAGCCTTGAGAGGACTTGGAATGCTAAGCCACTCTCTCTCTCAGGATAGTCTGACCAGAGAGGGTAGGCATACCTTGGTGGGGTGGGAAAGACTGCCAGTCCAGCTCAGCTCATCAGCAATAAAATGTTTAGTGGTATTTGTTTTTTTTTAAGAGAAAAGAAGTCTACTTACATGGAAGTCTTCATGAGAGATCTTTATGGCATAAGGCATGTTGGGCTCTTCTTTGGGCTCCACGATGCAGCCTCCCAGGGGTATGACACCCTGGGGACAAACCAGAGTGCTCTGATAAGTCAGCAAAATCAAGTATAACTATTAACTAACTAAGAGAAGAACTTTCACTCTGGGTCACTTGTGGGCCCCTGCCCTGCCTTGGTTATCCCAGGAGGGGAAATACACACAGCTCCTGAAAAGCAGAGGGACTCTCCCCACCACCAGGAGACCTCCAAGTGGTATCTGAAAGGAGGTAAAGATGTCTCTCCTGCATTCAGCTTGGAGGGAAGGCTGCTAGCTAGAACATGGAAGCTGGAGCTCTTTTATCAAGGAGGAGGTCTCCTGACAGGGGCAGACATTGTAGATCCACAGTGTGGTACCATGAGAGAGGCTGTGCATCCATTACAGTCACCACTGGTAGGTCAACACCCAACATGTGCTGTGTGGGGATGGGTGAGCGGCCTGCTGCCCCTAACCAGGCTGGGTGAAATCAGCTCCTTCGGAAGCACATGTGCTTCATCAGCCTCCAGTGACTACAGAGGATAAAAGCAGACTCAGAGCACAGGGTCACCCCATGAGAGCTCCAGGTGCAGAACTACAGAGGCTGCTTCTCGGGGCTGAGGGCACATGGTTTCGCATGGGCTGGCTGTGACTGCTTACGAGAGCAAGCACAGCTTAGGAATAAGCAGCAACCAAAGCTGTTAGCCCCACCACTGGATTTGCCAACAGTATTCTCATAGCCACAAGAGTAGCTGATTAGGAGATCATGAAAACAAGGGAAAACATCTACTATCAGACAAAAAAAAAAAAAAAAATAAAGTCGTGTACCTGCTGAATCATTAAGGAGCCTGAAGAGGTACTGATGTGATTCTTGCTTTTTTGAGGCTTCCCTGGATCTGTGAGAAGTTTGCAACTTACCTCTTCACTCCCTGGGCCCATGGAGGAGGGAGAAGCTAGAAACAGAATAAGCCCCTCTCCCGTGCAAACACTGCTCACCTTGGGGTGGATATTGAAATACTTGTTGCTTTCAAAACTCTTCTTCTCACTCTCAGCATAGTAGAGCAGGAAACTTTCCTTAATAATGAAGAACCTTTAAGACAGAGAAAGGAAATAAATCCTGCTAGAACAGAGGTCGTGGTTCACAGCACAAGAAAATCTCCACCTAAATAAAGTTGCTTTCTGAGCAGAAGAGTTTACTGTTCCCATCTAAGCCTAAGGTGAGATGCCTCACTTTTACTCACAGTCAAGAGCTACTGCTTAACACTAAGTGCCAAATCCAAGTGCTTTATGCCTGCAGTTTACCACAGCATGCACACACCAGTGTTGATGGCAAACCATAGTACCATTCACTCATAGGGTAATGGTATAGCGATCTGTGTCCAAGACAGGGGCACAGGCAAAGCCTTTTGGCATCTTGACCTGTGCACGCTCTATCTAGCCCATGTGTTGGATTCAAACTATTAGAAGAGAGCTGCTCCTTTTCTTAAGGGTCTCTCTCACCTAGGCTTAAGAGGATTTGATGGATGGACCACTCAGAGGATAAGGAATTGGCTGGATAGTCACACTCAAAGAGTCGCAGTCAATGGCTTGATGTCCAAGTGAAGGCCAGCGATGAGTGGTGTTCCTCAGGTGTCGGTATTGAGACCAGTGCTGTTTAGCATCTTTGCTGGTGAAATGGACAGTGGGATTTAGAGCACCCTCAGCAAGTTTCCTGACAACAATGAGCCGTGTGGTGTGGTCAACACACTGGAGGGAAGGGATGTCATCCAGAGGGGCCTTGATAAGCTGGAGAAGTGGACCTGTGCAAACCTCATGAAGTTCCACAAGGCCAAGTGCAAGGTCCTGCACGTGGATCGGGACAATCTCAAGCACAAATTCAAGCTGGGTGGAGAATGAATTGACAGCAGCACGGAGGAAAAGGACTTGAAGGTATTGGTTGAGAAGCTCAACATGAGCTAGCAATGTGCACTTGCAGCCCAGAAAGCCAACCATATCTAGATGATCTTTAGGATCCCTTACAACCCAGACTATTCTACGGACAGCAACTAAAAGCTTATTTTTGCAATCTACTTCCTGCCACCCTCTTTCTTCCCATCTCAGCACAAGCCAGAAGGAAAGCATTTCCACTGCAACACCGAGTCATATGGCAGGAAGAGTCATAGACTAGCATCCTCATGCAACTCTCAAGGCAAAAGACTGGCCACAAGAGCACTCAGGAGAAGAAATAAACTTTAGAGATATTTTTAAGCAGAGTTCCTGGGAAAGTCTCCTGTCATTGACCTTTGTTAATACAAAGGAAATTGAATTTTTTTTCTCATATGCAATATTTTTTCTCATTAAAACGTGCCTTGTTCTGCTCAGTTAGCCTTAGGAATGCTCTGATGAATACTGTATAGTAGCCACAAAACACCCCAGCTTCTGCAAACCAAGCCTCTAATTTACTGCAGCGTGTCCTCAAAATCGTGATTAAAGGAGTGCCACTTTTAACTTATTTGGATGTTCAAAATGCCCCTGGGAGGGCACCTCTTCTCTTTGAAAATTGAGGTTGCACTTACCCTGCAGGCAGTAGTACAGGGGAGAAATATCTGACTTAGTTTACATTCAGTCTAAATCTCTGCAACACTGAAAAATGCTGAAGAACAGCTGAAAAAATGGGGACGAGTTTAGTAGGGAGATTTTGAAAGAGTAAATGACAAAGAAAATGTGTTGCACTGTTCCGTACATATTTTCTGATATGAGAAAAGGGAGATTTGGAAAGAAAGTGAAAGGCAATAATCTGAAAATTAATAAAGAATGCCTTTTTACACTGCACAAAACACTGCTGGGTAAATCACTTTCATGTGGTCTCTAGGACAAGAGCTCATAAGGAATCTGGAAGGGATAAGGCATTTCTGTGAATAATGAGAACATCCCCAGGAAACCCTCCTGCTTCTGAGCAGAAAAGGCTCCACTGAGAGGGATCAGAAAGAGACTTCTCCGCGCAGCGCTTTCCAGTTGTGGGGATTCCTGCACCTTCCTCTGAAGTCACAATTAGCAATGGGCTACAGGCCGAGAGGTCTGATCCACCAGAGCAGTTCTATTATCTCCACGTGCCCATCCCACCCTAGTCCTCTCTTGAAGCAGAGGGCCTGTCAGATAGAGCCAAGTGCTGCCTCCAGTACAGACAAGCACAGCAATTTGGTACCAGTTTAGTTCCTGAAGCTAAAGAAAGAAGTTGAAGTGGGCGGAGAATTATCATTAAAATAACAAAACAATATATCATTATAATATAATATATTAATAATAATAATCAGTATTACACTCAGGCATAAGTTTTACCACTTCCACAAGCTCCTATCTCTTGATTTTCTGCTGTGGCTCTAGCAACATAGATGAAATTGCCACATGCCATGGAAACATGAGCCATGGGCTTACAGAGGGACCAAAAAGTACAGAACAAAGCTAAACTTCTGAAAGCCTGCAGCAAGCTTGAGCTCTGGACCTACTGCATGCCTGCTCAAAAATGTTTAAAAGTGATGGTCATTGAACATGTGCAGATTTACATCCAGAAATCTTCAGAACGTACAAACACCAGAAGCAATTATTGTATCTCAAAATTTTTCTTCTCCTTGCCCATACACGTTCATGTTGACATCAGAGGTGGGAAGAAGAAGAAAGCTTGCTTCCTCAGCAGGACACTGTCTTCTCATTCGATATTCCAGGAACATCATGGTTGACTGCTTAACGTCACCTCTTGTTCCTAACCACAGCCTGGCAAAAATCTCTTTAAGCAGAACAGCACGACACAGTGCAAAAATCACTCTTCTGCACTGAGCCCATTTAGTTGGTAGAGAACTGAAAAGGTGCTCATTCACAGTGCAGCCTGTCCAGCAAGTCATCTGAATAGGAACAATTACTACTCACCTTCCACCCAGGAGACCATGTCCCTTCCAGCCCAAGCTCGTGTCCCTGTGCACCTCCCAGATGAGCTGTATCTAACGTCCCCTCAGCTGAGAAAGCAATGTGTGACCCCACCTGTGGTGGCTGTCCATACTCGCTCTGTATGATCGTAAGAGATGCCTAAGATGGACAGGGAGATGGACTGTCCACGGGGCACAACTTGCCTTCCCTGTGATGGGAATCTCCATCTTAAATCTCCTGCCAGCGTCACAGATCAGGGAATATAACAGTTTCCTCATGACAATAAGCATGGATGGAAGGAGCATACCAGAGAAGATGGGGGCCTGAACTGCTCACACAACTTTGAGACATTGGCCCATCTAGCAGATGCATTAGGCACATCTCTGTGGGACACAGAACTGATGAAGTGGATTCATCGAGGTCTCACCTTCCTGTGAAACAAAGATTGGTATTTTCAGATATATTTGCATTTATGGCAAAGGCACCCATGACACCTGCAGCAGGCTCAGAGCTGACCTTGGCCAAGGCAGATATCAGAGAGACCTCCACGAAGCAGACAGGGCTTATTTCTGGTTCCTCCTGTCCACATCACTTCTGTGAGAAGCAGCCTTGTGCTTTCCTGTTTCTGTTTTTCTCCCACCTCTTGTCAGTAACTATATGAAAGTTTTCTAACGAGTAGCTGCATTTTCACTTTATGTCTCTAATGCTTAGTTCAACAAGGACTTGATTTTTTAGAGGGACATGTTACCTCATCTGCTCAATAAATACAGAAATAACATCTTTAAAGAACAATCCTGCCTGGCCAATGGCCTGTGCTTGGTCCAGTGGGTCAGAGTGAACCACATACTGTGGGCACAAATATGCTAAGGAATGAAAAACAACACATCACATGAAATAGAGAAAGTATTCCTTGCTTTCAACAGTCTTTTCAGTCTGAACAACCTCAAGAAACATTTGTAAGACAGGTAAAGATATTGATTTTCAACTATGTGTGATTTTTTAATCCAAATGTTAACCTCCAGTTAAAGCCAGGCTTTAGTTTGTTACATACTTTTTTGTCTGATCAGTGTACCTGATAATCCCCATATTATAGATTATCCTCCAGTGGAAAACAAAACCAAGAACCAAGTATAGCACAGATCTCTGAGAACTGATGTGTCTCTGGCAGATTAATGAACTTTTAGATCCCTGACCTCACAGATGTGGAGAGAATCTGTGGGGATTCAGAATGAAAATACACAAAACAGGAGTTTAAAAAATAACAACAAAACCCCACAGCAAACAATGAAGGAAAAACATTGAAAATCTGGTTACCTGATGGACATAATGTATTTATGGAAGGCAACACCTAAACAACCAAGATCATCACTTTAACTTTGACTTTCAGGAAAAGTCTCCATACAATAATACAAGGATAATCAATGCAGCACGATAGAAAGAGGAATGAAGTGAAGAAGTAGAGGAGAAAGAGTTACAAGACCCAAGAGTAAGTTGAAGACTGAAGCAGCAGCCAGGTGAGTAGGAGCAGAAAGGGAAAAGATGGCCAAGAGAGAATCGAGAGAGACACCCAGTTAGGACTGGGACGCTGGAGACACTGAACGCATATCTGAATTAGGCACAGATGTGCCAGCAGAAGAAAAGGGAGAGCTGGAAAGATGGGAAGATCTTGAATACAAAGCAGCAAAGGTGAGAGAGAGGAGAGGACCTAGTACAACCATGCACACTCCACATGCAGCACAAGTAATACAAGAGCCATTCACGCACTGTCAGCTCCTCTGGGTCACCTGTCTCCTGTCACTACATCCTGCACTAGGAAACCACTGACACTGCAGTGTAATAACTGGGATAGCAGAGGAACAAAGACGGTTCGAGTGACTCGAACGTAAAGCCAGAGACGTGATCTGCCAGGGTTAGACACAATGGCTCTACGCTGGACAAGTAGAGATACCTTATCTCTGGGGATAGAGTGCTTTCTTTGTGTCACAGAGGGCTGGCGAGATTAATCAGCTAATCTTTGTAAAAGTTTTTGAAGTGACAATGGCCCACGTTAAATATTTACACTATAAAACCGCAGCAGTCTCACTGGCCCTTCCTTCCAAGGGTGATTTTCTGGGCACCACTCCAGCAG